TTCACATCCTGGACAGAGAGGAACGATGGTTTGAGAGAGGAGTAAAGGAGGCCATCTTTGTGAAAAGAAACCGTCCATCATTAAACAGGGGTGGAGGCCTCCGGGTTCAACTGTCCCCCTCTTACAATGCTGTGATTGCTAGTATCACTCAGCCCTCTGTGAATAATAAACAGCCATCAGTGTGCTAATGATCCATTGTTAGGCTGATGGTCCTTCTTGAGCATGTGATCAGCTGGTTTTGGTTGTCAGCAGCAAACTGGTTGATCCACTGCAAGAGGGTGCTATTTAAGAGACTGAGCTGAATACAGCACCTCAGAGTGAGGAAGTCTTTTGGATGAGAGACGAAATGTTTCTATATTTTTTTGTTGTTTTGCTTTGTTTTGTTTTTTTGAATGCCCAGAAGACCAGATTTAACTTTTTTGGATTTTTCTACCTGGATTATTGAGCATGTTTCAGGATAAGAAGTGGTAATTCACAATAATGCAGCTCAAATGCTCTATAATTACAGAAACTAAATTGAAAAGGTTCCCAGAAGGGTTTGAGACAGCTGCAAACACTCTGTGACAATTCTGAGGAAAAATTAGTTGTACAAAATTTTTTAACGTTCAAAATTCAAGCAACAAGACTGCAAGACTCTGCAACTCACAAGAGGTTATTGAAAATCCCTGCAAAGGTTCTAAGACATTTTGGATATTCCCAAATGAATACCATACACTAACTAGTCTCCATCAGTCACAGACCAGTGAGATAAATCCACACCACCCCAACTTCACACATACTCATCAACTTGGTCCTGTGACTACCTCCCTTGCGGGATGACTGATGTATGGCTGAAGAATAGCTATAATTTAGCAATAGCCCTTGATCATGCCACAAGTATTTTTTTACAAAACAGTTGGCGATGTGGCCACAAAGATGAACCCCTCTTTAGGCTGCTTTTACTCATTCAGACATCAACAATCAAGCAGCTCACATTCTGCAAAAATGTGCAAATTCATTAATGAAGCTGCTGATGCAGAATCAAAAGTAGCATGAAGTACAAGGTGTTCTGTTGAGCGCTACACATTTAGTGCATGTTGCATGTATTGGCTGGTCACACAGACCATTTGTCATCATCACACCACAGATCTGTTAAGTCAGCTTCTCCTTGTATAGGTCAACCATTATGGCACTTTTCCAACCTTGATTGGTGTCTTAGAGGCATGTCAGCGAAGCTTAACCTTCATGTTCATATAAATTTCCTGGTACTGACCTGGCCATGGTGAGGGCTCTGTTCACCCTCTGCTCCAGCTCATTGGTCCCTAAAGCCTTCCACATGAGCCACAGCTTGAAGGCGTCGGGCTTCCTGCTGCACTGGACTGACTTGTCCCCTGTGTCGTAGCTCACATCGTAGAACTTGTCCTGCTGGAAGAGGTAGGAGGCCTGAGCAGAGTGGCAGCGCTGGAGGAGGCTCTGAAAGTAAAAAAAAAAAAAAAAATTGTCTTATTAACAGCTGTAAATGATGCCACAAATAAATACTTTTGATTTGTTGTTGATCTTCATGAGCTGAGTAATGTTTTCTTACACTTTTGTCTCTGACCAGAAAAGCTGAGCACTGAAGAGTGGCCATCAGCATTTTATGAGGGTTCCAGGCCACTGAATTGACTCTTATCAAACAAACAAACACAGTTACTAACATTTTCACTTATTCAGAAACAGTGTATTGAAAGATTAAATATTTTTTGAGTCAGTGCAGTTGTGGTTATGGAAGCCCATTTATGTCAGTAAAAGAAAAATAGTTAGCCTTGAAAATAATATGAACTGTAAATGTGTATTCACCGATATATTTACATTTCTTCTTCTTTTGGTTTTTCCCTCTTCAGGGTCTCCACAGTGAGTCATCCTCCTCCACCTCACTCTGTCCTCTGCATCCTCTGTCCTCACTCCAACTACCTCCATGTCCTCTCTAACTGCATCCATATATCTCCTCTTTGTTGTTTTTTTTCCTGGCAGCTGCATTTTTAACATCCTTCTACCCTCCTCTGGACATGTCCAAACCACTGTCCCTCATCTGGACATGTCCAAACCATCTCAGTCTGGTCTCTCTAACTTTATCTCCCAGGTGTTCAACCTGTGCTGTACCTCTGATGATCTCATTCCTAATCTTATCCATCCTTGTCACTCCTAAGAAGAACCTCAACATCTTCATTTCTGCCACTTCCAGTTCTGTCTCCTGTCTTTTTGTCCATGTGTCTGTCTCCAGACCATACAACACAGCTGGTCTCACCACTGTCTTGTAAACTTTTCCTTTGACCTTTGCTGACACACTTTTGTCATAAATCACTCCTGAAACTTTTGTCCATCCACTCCATCCTGCCTGGACTCTTGTTTTCACTTCTTTACCACATTCCCCATTTTCCTGGACAGTGGACCCCATGCCCTTGAAGTCCTGAACTTTTGTGACCTCTGCTCCTTGTAGTCTCACTGTTCCACCGGCCTCCCTCTCATTCACACACATGTACTCTTGTCTTACTACAGCTGACTTTCATTCCTTCTTTCAATTACATACCTCCACCTCTCCAAGTTCTCTGCCATCTGTTCCTTGTTCTCACCACAGATCACAATGTCATCTGCATACATCATAGTCCATGGGGAAGCCTGCTTGACCTCATCTGTTTGTCGGTCTATCACCAAAGAAAGCAAGAAGGGGCTCAGAGCTGATCCTTGATGCACTCCCACCTCCACCTTGAAGCTATTTGTCACTCCTACAGCACATCTCACCAATGTCCTGCTGTCCTTATACATGTCCTGTACCAGTCTAACATACTTCTCTGTCACTCCAGATTTCCTCATGCTATACCACACCTCCTCCCTCAGCACCATGTCATATGTTTTTTCTAAATCCACAAAGACACAATGGAGTTCTTTCTGACCCTCTCCGAACTTCTCCATCAGCATCCTCAAAGCAAAGATGACATCTGTGGTGCTCTTTCTTGGCATGAAACCATACTGCTGCTTACAAATGGTGACCTCTCATCTAAGTCTTGCTTCCACAACTCTCTCCCAGATCTTCATCGTGTGGCTCATCAACTTAATTTCCCTTTAGTTGCTAGAACTCTGTACATCACCCTTGTTCTTAAAAATGGACACCAGCACAATTCTTCTCCATTCCTCAGACATTTTATCACCCTCAAATATATCATTGAATATTTGAGTCAAAAACCATCTCTCCAAGACATTTCCAAACCTCCACTTGGATGTGATCAGGTCCTACTGCCTTCCTTTTCTTCATTGTTTTCAGAGCTTTCTGGACTTCACCCTCACTAATCTTTCCCACTTCCTGGTCCACAGTTTCTATGACCTCTACTCTTCTTTCTCTTTTATTCTCTTAATTTATTAGCTTTTCAAAGTACTCTGTCCATCTTCATGCGCGTAGCCAGGGGGGGTTCGGGGGGTTCGAACGAACCGCCCACTTTGCCAATGAAGTCCCACCTACAACTCCCGCGAGATATAGAACTGCGAGGTGAAGTAATTTCATTCATAAAAAACAATGTCTAACAAAGCAAAGTAAAAAGATGAGTTATTTTTGCAATTGAAGTAATGTTATTATTTGCGGGCTTAGTTTGCATTTATGTTGTTAGAGTTAAGGAGTGGTACTGTGCCTTTAAGAGGATGACGTCTTTCATTCTTCTTCGGTGTTTTTTTTTTTTTTTTGTGTATGTTCGGGCGGGACTCGGGAGTACCGAAGTGTTCGTTCGTGTCTGGGATGAGTTCTGAATAGAAGACTGGACACACACGCTATTCCCCTCTCAGTGTGTTGCTCTTTCTCCACTCACAACCGCCTATTTGGTAACACAGATTTACCTCACACAGCAGTGTTTTAACTAGCTAGCTAATTAGCTTGTTTACACATTTGAAGTTATGTGTACCACCGCCAATGAACCAATCAGAGTAGTCCTACAGGTCCACTTTTTCTTCAAACGAACCGCCCCTCATAAAATCCTGGCTACGCCTATGATCTTCCCGTCACACTCCTCACTTGATATGGGTCATGGGAGACTGTGATGAAGTGAAGATTCAATGCAGTCTGCTGACTTCCTTAGACAACTTTTACTAATTGGCTTTTTATGCATGTGAATGTTTCTGTTCAGTGCCCTGAGACAACTTCTGTTGTGACTTTGCGCTATATAAATAAACTGAATTTAACTGTTAGAATATTACCATTCCTATCTTTAACAAGCCTAACCTGCTGCACATCCTTTCCAGCCTGATCCTTCTGTCTCGAGATCTTATTGTTCCATATTTTCTTAACAGAGCACTTCGCTCTCAGACTGCAGGCTTACTTGCCATTTCTAGAGTTTCCAAAAGCAGAATGGGAGGAAGATCTTTCAGTTATTAGGCTCCTCTCTAATGGAACCAACTTCCAGTTTCTGTCCGTGAGGTTGACACATTGTCCACTTATAAGACTGGGCTTAAGAACTTACTTTTTGATAAATCCTATAGTTAGGGTTAGCTTGTTATGCTACCATAGGCTTAGACTACTAGAGGACAAATTGACCTCATTTCCTTAAATGATTTGCTAAAATTGAATAGTTTTCATTTGAATTTATTTCTATCTTAGCATGTGATTCTTGACCTGCCATTGTGTATCTGTTCCTCTCAAACCCAGCTAGTCGAAGCAGATGGCCGCTTGTCCCGAGCCCGGTTCTGCTAAAGGTTTCTTCCTCATGAGGGAGTTTTTCCTTTCCACTGTCGCCTTCATGCTTGCTCAAGATGAGAGTTCTGTGATGGAGTTAAATTCAAAGCAGTCTGCTCCTCAGATGAATAATGTTAAATTATTATTTATATATATACAAATGTTTCTGTTCAGTGCCCTGATGACTTCTGTTGTGACTTGGTGCTATATAAATAAACTGAACTGAATTGTCTTGCCAATCGGTACAAGTCCTTCTCACCCTCTTTAGTGTCCGGCCTCCCACACAACTTATCATATGCCTTCTGCTTTGCATGTGCTATCTCCCCCTTTGCTCTACATTGCATCACATTATATTCCTGTCTCCTCTCTTCAGTCTTATCACCATCATATTTCTTTTTGGTTAACCTCTTTCTTTGAATATCTTCCTGCACTTCACTATTCCACCACCAGGTTTTTTTTATCATCTGCCCAGATGACACACCAAGTACCTTCCTACCTGTCTCTCTTAATTACTGTTGCTGTAGTAACCCAGTCATCTGGAAGCTCTTTCTTACCACACACACACACGCACACACGCAAACACACACACACATATGGTTTATGGACTGTACTTATATAGCGCCTTTCTATCTTATTTCAAGATACTCAAAATGCTTTACACAACAATCTGTGCCTCATTTACCCATTCATACAGCTCTATACTAGATCTCTGCACAGATAATTGAACAAATCATTCTAAAGAGACTAATCAGAGCTTTATCACATTCATACACTGATGGGACAAACATCAGAGGCTATGAGGGGTTCAGTGTCTTGCCCAGGGACACTTCGACAAGTGACTGCTGGTGGATTCGAAACCCCAACTCTTGCATTGGAGGACGACTGTGTAGTGAACCTAACCTGATGTCAGACTAAGCCTAAGGTCAAAACCCTTGACCTTAAGAACATTGTGGGA